AACGTGTGTGGCATACCAAGCAGCCGCCGGAACACCCACTCTTTCCTCATCATCCGTCTTCTGGATTCCCCTGAGATGACGAGCATCGGCAATACGCTCGGAATCTGTAAGATCGTCTGCGTCGATTAGTGCAGCATATTCAGCGGCGACAAACTCTATCGCGTTCGCAACGGCCATAACAGCAACAAGACCCAGGTAGAAAGCCCGATTCATTTTTTTGTTGGAGCCGGGGGGGACGGGGACAGAAGTATTCTTAATTGACCGGCTACTGTACAAATCTGTACTGTAACATGATTAGTCTAATTCGTGTTGAGAGTGCTCAAAGCATCTTTTGATGAGTACATGAAAAGTCTTTACTTTGTTAAAGCCGCACATTAAAATGATAAAGCTTCGTATAATTGTATCCAGGAGTGTAGGTGCTTCCTACAGTACCATTGAATACAGCATAGGAACAGTTTACACTTCCGAACAAACTCCCGTATGTTTGTATCTTGGGATTTAAGAATCGCCTGTCTTTTCATTCTTGAGTTATCAAGGACAATGATGCAATTACCAGCTTCTAAGCGTAGCACCATTTCTCACGTCCCTATGGTCCCGTCTGAAGTAGTACTATAGGAAGTCTAACCGAAGTTTACTGTTTATTTACAGACACAAGTTACATAACACATCGTGTTACCTGCATCTACATGTACTATATCTACAAATGTAAAAGATATTAATAGTGCAATTTATCAGTACTGTCTTCAAACTCGCGTTTGCGTAGCTCACAAAAAGATTTTTCAAGATGGCCACAATGTACTTCTGTGGCACCAGTGCTGGTGATATTGAGCCCTAGATAGACCCTACGAGTGCATCGGGGTCGCCATCGCCGCTAATTCTTCTGAGATGGATATGATGCAACTGTTGTGCACGCTTGTAGTCACTTCAATTAGTTTCAAGGGGTGTCAAGCACAGCATTTTTATTTGAAATAGTATAGGTCGTTTACCTGCTACATGTAGTGAAATTTAACTACACGTAACTGTGTTTGCTGACAGTAAGTGCTTGTGTTATTAATAGTAACCATTCCACATTAAATTATCCAATTTAGGTTAAAATAGTTGAAAAGGTGCTCATTAACGAAAAGGTTAGCATCGCTGTTAAAGATCCCTTTAAAAACTAGTTGGCTAAAGTGCATACCTACTGCAGCAATCGATAAACTCGCCTTCCACCTCCAAGGAAATGCATGTAGGCAAACCCTTATTTTTGTAAGCGTTTCGAGCTACAGTAGTAGACACTGACTTTACAGCTGACATACTGTCAGTGGATAGGAATTACACTAATTAGAAAAGCGAATAGATTCAGGCTTTTTTCGCAGCTAGCT